TGTCGATGCTTACTACTCCTTCAGATGCCGCTAAAATGTTTGTGGTCTTTTCTTTGGTGACCAAACTCCATTTGATCCGGTGAGACAAAGGGGCAATGGTGGGGGCACCAGGGTCATTGACTGTGTTGTCCTGGAAGTAGCAGGGCAGAACTAATGTGTCACCCATCAAAGGCTGGAGAGGAAGCTCGTTGGGTATGCTGACGCTCAGTGTGCTTTCAGGCTCTGTAATAACATATACAGGTTAATGAGGTTTTCAAGAATACTAGCAATTTCAATATGTAATTTACACAACGAATACGCACCAGTGTAAACGTAATCAAAAGACGCTGTGGCTGAGAAGACCCAGAAACACATACTCCGCAAAAGCAAGGACAGCATCGTTCACCTACAGGTTTAAAAGAATGTTAACTTATGACCATCATATTTGCACATATATTCAGCAACAGCTATGATATTCTCAGTTTTTAATATCCATTAGAAGGCAACTTACTGTATATACTGTGCTTTGCTCAAAAGATTTTATTCTGACAGCATATACTGTATCAGATGGACCAAATGTGGTTTTCCAAGTTCATAACAAAGGTTTGGTAAAATAAGAGGTTTTTGAGAGAGAAAACCAACATGTAATTTTCGGTTCCCAAAATTACCACAGCAACAGTACAGTCCTCGTGCCAATACAAGCTGGTCATGTCTGTACCGGGCGGTTGGGGAATTAACTTACCGTTAATTACTGAATGTCTGCCATGCATGGATAGAGAGAGATATGCTGTTCTTCTAGTTTACAGAGTTTTGGGGAAAATAATTCATAAGGTTTGCCCTTACTTAACAAACATACAACATTTAAAAATCTTTGCCAGTGTTGGCTCGCTTTTAGGGGTGACGCTATATTTATTTGACTTGCTGCAAAGCATTCAACAGTGCTTCCTATACATAGACTTATCTACACATAGTGCTAGAGCAGAGAGCCACTTATTCATAGCTAGTTAAACTGGAGCTTTTTATACACTATTCCATATCGAGTTTGTCCTCACCCACCTCTCCTTCTAGTCCAATCCAAATCTAATCTTGTAAAGCAAACAATATAAAAAAAATCTGAGAAAGTGAGCATGAATGCTTACACTCTGTGACCAACAGGCCATTTTTAATGTATGAGGTCCCTCAAATTACTATAGCAAAACAAATGATGTTAAATCTATTTAGAAGTATTATGTCATTTTATAAAAAGCACAGAAAAAAAAACAATTAAGCTATTTGGAAAATGTGTGCAGTGTTTTGTTAAAGTGTTCTGGACTGTGTTTAGAGAATGCGCAAAGGAAAAAGACAGATAAGATAAAATCAGTTGCCAAAGTTGGTTTCATGGGAAAAGGGCTTAATGGCTTATGTGTTGGTCTTAATTTTTTTCCTTTTAAGTCCTTCTTAAAGTGCAGTGTTTGTCCCAGTTAAAGCTTTAATGGAAATCATTCAACATTTAGAAGGTCATAGAAAGATAAAATACTGATGAAAATATCAATCATTGCTCAAACGTGATATATTTAAAGCTGTGTGTGTTCCTGTCAAACTCAGCTAGCGACACATAAAACAGGGATTAAAAAACAACATTATTCCTACAATGAGTGTACTGTAAATCACAGATAGTTTGAGTTAAATGACAGAATCATTTAATGTTGCAACAGTTAATCTCAGTATAATCCCCACAGAAAGAAATATGCTAAAATTAATTTTAAGCAATTCTTAGACAACATGTGCCACCGTGTGGATGTCAAAGGGTCAACAACAAAACTGTAATTTAGGGTCTTGCCATTATAAGTCCAACATAATAACCTAGTTCATAAAGTAAATAAAATTATATATTAACCCACTTGGAAAAATGCTCTGATGGATCAATTAATCCTGCTTAAGTACATGAACTAAGATGCCACTACAGTGTGCATTATTTCTACATGCCTGATCACGTACAGTTTGTGAGCACGCAACAAGCACTACATACAATAGGTTGAAACAAGTACATTTAGATGCATTTCATTGAAGATAATGTCATATAGCCATTTTACATAGCCAGCAACATTTAATATGTTAAAAAACACATGTTAAAAAGGGCTTAAGACATAAAGTTTCATCTGCAATATCACCTTCAGCAGATACTTTATAGCATCACAGCATACCAAAGAAAAAAGTTTAAGTGGGCATCCCTGTATAGGCGCAAGAACTCTCTCAGGAAAAGAAAAGGTACAAAGCTATCACTGGGACCGTACCCTACAAGAGCTAAAACGTACATATTTACCACCAAATGATATTAGTACCTTTTTAAAGGGTACCTAGTGACAGTTTTTCTCAGAGTGAAGTGTATTGACAAGTTATTTGTCACTTTAGGTCAGGAAGGTTGCATCTTAACAATACATCCAAATATAAATTGTGATTCTCTGTAATAATCAAATATAACTATATGACATGGTAGAGCAACAAAATTAACTTCAATTCAATTTAAGCCAAGACAAAAGTATCTGAAATAAGTCCTATTGCCAAACCACCTTCAGTCATGATTCGAAACATAACGTTACTGGTAAATAATAGTTATTTTTCACATTTATTATGATTATTCATTAGGCTATATCAATGCTCAAATTTCCAAATGATCAAATCTGATTTACTGTCACTCTGTTAAGACATTTTAGTGTTTAATATCAGCACATATCAGAGAATGACTGAAGGTTCACAACTTTCAACTTGTAATCTCACATTACTTCAACAATTAACTCGACCCTGAGCATTTGAATTCATGTAATTGAGCCAGAGATGCTGTGACAGTGCTCACCTGTACAGCTAGCGAAACCACAACATAAAGCCAAACTGTTCATCACCTGTATGATAGAGTGTCCCTCTGAAACTCTTATATTCCTTGATTGCAGATGCTTTCCAGCTCTCTGATGGCACGCGCCTCTCTCAATCCAAACCCGTAATAAAAGCGTCGCGTGTGCAGTAAAGTTCAGAGGCGCTTCTGGCAGAAGATTGAGAAGCAGAAAGAAACTCTGCTCACAGGGGAAATACTTTAACTGAACAGGAGCTGAAAGGGAG